GTTCACAATTTTGTGCAGCGTGGTAAAGTAGTAGTTCAATTGATAGTGTCTTTTTAGATAATTAATATATAGGACCGAAAAGTGAAGGAAACAACTTTAAATGTGCATTTCAATAAGCTGAAGTGTTTATTTTTTTGAGATCACGAGTCTAAGGATATTTAACTTAGAATTAGAATTAAGGTAAAAAAAAATTGCAGTCTTGTAGAGGATATGAAATTTAAGTGTCCTTTTTTAAATTTGAACCCATGTGGAATGGAACGTGAAAACTAAATGTCAGTTACAAAAAAGAAACATGCATACCCCATTAAATTGAACGTGTGAACCAATATTAAAAAGTTAATTTGAGATGCACTAACTCTTTCCATTACTAACATGCAGAATGCATTAAATGATAAATCGGTCAATTAAACGGCCAACAAAGAAGATGACACAAGTGCCCCCTACTACCATTTATTTGATCGCACATCATCACCTATTTTGAACGGTTAAGATTTGTTCTCACGTTCTCACATTAAGGGATGTTCTCATTTGAACCAGAATCTATATATATATATATATATATATATATATATATATATATATATATATATATATATATATATATATATATATATATTATTTCAACGATGCAACATTTGAAGTAATTATTTTATTATATTTATATTTTCGAAGTGTCACATTCTACCCTCCTTAAAAGATGTTTCGTCCCGAAACATAAACTAATATCTACTATCTATAATATAAAATTACTAAGTGTTACATTCTACCCCCCTTAAAGAAGTTACGTCCCCGTAACTATTTTTTTTTTTTTACCTTGACTAAACAGCTCGGGATAACGTTTTCTCATGTCATCCTCGGTCTCCCATGTGGCATTTTCAGCCAAGTGATTTGACCACAGTACTTTGACCATTTTGATGGCCTTCCTCCGAGTTTCACGTGTCTTTGTGTCCAAAATCTTCACAGGCCTTTCCTCATACGTCAAAGTTTCATCCAACTCAATCACCTAATTACATAATGGGTTATTTTAATGTCTACCAATCGTATCCTAGCTATTTTGAAAGTGAGGTTCTTACCTCTGGGTTTAAGATATGCGCCTCATCACGGATATACTTCTTTAGTTGAGATATATGGAAGACATCGTGTACCTTGCACACGCCAAAATGATTTTAGGTTTGCATTTTAAACTTCCAAATAACTTTAAAAAGAAGTGATTTACTTCATACCTTACTCAATTTCGTGGGTAGAGCTAGTTTGTAAGCTACTCTTCCCACCTTCTCCAGAATCTCGTAAGGCCCAATGAATCGAGGACTTAGCTTGCCCTTCCTTCCAAATCTCATGACGCCTTTAGTAGGAGAGACTTTGAGGAGTACTTTTTCTCCTACCTCGAACTCAGCTGGTTTTCTTCCTAGGTCAGCATATGACTTTTGTCTATCTTGTGCTGCCTTCATCCTTGCTTGAATAGACTTGATCTTCTCTATCGTATCTTGCAAATATTGCGGCCCTAAGACCACCTGGTCCACCATATCACCCCAGCACAAAGGGCTTCTACATTTTTGACCACATAGAGCCTCGTACGGAGCCATTTTAATACTCGTATGATAGCTATTGTTATATGAGAACTCTATTAGGTCCAAGTGTTCATCCCATGACCCTTGTAGGTCCAGTATGCATGCTCTCAGCATATCTTCGAGTGTCTGAATTGTTCTCTCCGTCTGACCGTCTGTCATCGGATGAAATGATGTGCTTAGCTTTAGTGTGGTCCCCATAGCAGCTTGAAGTTCCCTCCAAAATTGGGATAGGAATCTAGAATCTCTGTCAGATACAATATCTCGAGGTACACCGTGATACTTGACCACATGCCTGATGTAGGCTTTTGCCAGCTTATCCATGCTCCAAGTTTCATTCATCGGAATGAACCTGGCGGTTTTGGTCAATCTATCAACAATTACCCAAATCTTATCCTTCCCGGACTTTGTTAAAGGCAAACCTCCGACAAAGTCCATCGAGATTGAGTCCCACTTCCACGTTGGTACCTCTAAGGGTTGCACAAGTCCCTTGGGCTTGCATCTCTCGGCTTTCACTTTTTGACAGTTTAAGCATCGAGCCACAAACTCTGCCACTTCATTTTTCATTCTCGGCCACCAAAAGTTTTGCTTCAGATCTTTATACAATTTGTCTCCTCCCGGGTGTACCGAATAGGGCGTGTTGTGTCCTTCTTCCATGATTTGCTTTTTGATGTGCTCACATTTCATCGGGACACACCATCTTCCCTTATAGCGAATACTCCCGTCTTCGTGTAGCTGAAATGGTCCGTTGACTCCATTCTTCATCCCAGCCTTGACTCGTTCAAGCTTCACATCACCTGATTGACCCGCTTTGATTTCATCGAAGATAGAGGGTAAAATGGTCATTGTGTATAACCGGATTTCACTCTCCACTTCACCGCACTCCTTCACCTCCAAGTCTAGTCGTTGGAATTCCCGATATAGCTCTTCTGGAAGTATCCACATTGCTCTGCTGCTATGTTCTGTCTTCCTGCTTAAGGCATCCGCTACGACATTAGCTTTCCCCTCATGATATTGGATTTCAAGGTCATAGTCCTTGACAAGCTCTAGCCACCTCCTTTGTCGCATGTTAAGCTCTTTTTGGGTGAAGATGTACTTAAGGCTTTTGTGGTCGGTGTATATCTTGCACGGTGGTCCGTACAAGTAGTGCCTCCATATCTTCAAAGCAAACACTACTGCTGCTAACTCAAGGTCGTGGGTTGGGTAGTTGACCTCATGCACCCTTAGTTGTCGGGATGCATAAGCTACTACCTTCCCATTCTGCATTAGCACACAGCCGAGTCCATTCTTGGATGCATCGCAATATATTTCAAACCCATCAGTTCCCGAAGGAAGTGTCAGTACTGGTGCAGTCGTCAGTCTTTTCTTCAGCTCCTCGAATGCTCTCTCACAATCATCCGTCCACTGGAACTTTGTGGTCTTCTTCATCAAATTGGTTAATGGTCTAGCTATTTTGGAGAAATCTTTGACAAATCTCCGATAGTAGCCCGCTAACCCAAGAAAACTCCGCACTTCGGTGACAGTGGTAGGTGCTCGCCATTTGGTTACCGCTTCGATCTTTGATGGGTCCACAGACACTCCAGCTCGAGTGATGATGTGACCCAGAAATGCTACTCGGTCTTTCCAAAAGTCACACTTGGAAAGCTTGGCATAAAGTTGATGTTCTCTCAAGGTTTGTAAGACAAGCCTCAAATGTTCTTCATGATCCTTCTCGTTCTTCGAGTACACCAGGATATCGTCAATAAATACCACCACAAATGTATCAAGATATGGGCGAAATACACGGTTCATTAGGTCCATGAACACCGCTGGTGCGTTGGTCAAACCAAAAGGCATCACGGTGAACTCATAGTGCCCATATCTCGTACGAAATGCAGTCTTCGGTATATCTTTCTCCGCTATCCTCACTTGGTGGTAGCCAGATCGAAGGTCAATCTTGGAAAATATGCCCGCCCCCTTAAGTTGATCGAACAGGTCATCAATATGGGGCAGAGGGTATCGATTTTTGATAGTAACACGGTTCAGCTCTCGGTAGTCAATACACAGCCTCAAGCTACCGTCTTTCTTCTTGACAAAGAGAACCGGAGCGCCCCATGGTGAGACACTCGGCTTGATGTATCCTTTCTCGAGTAGTTCCTCAAGTTGCTCTTTCAGTTCTTGCATCTCCTTCGGAGCCATCCTGTATGGTGCCTTGGAAATTGGTGTAGTACCCGGCATTAAGTCAATGGAGAACTCAACGTCCCTTTCCGGAGGCATCCCCGGAATCTCTTCCGGAAACACATCGGGAAATTCATTGACCACAGGGATCTGATCAATCATTTGCTCTTCATTGTGGGTCTCCTTCATCATACAAAGGTATGCTTCGCATCCCTTCCGGATGTACCTCCTCATTTGCCGCATTGTCATCAACTTGACATCAGGTTTGTTTGTCACTGCCTTGAATGATACCCGCTTCCCACTCGGGCCCTTCATGATCACCTTGTGCTCGTTGCACAAGATCTTTGCCTTGTAACTCCCGAGCCAATCCATGCCCAACACCACTTCAATGTCTTCGAGGTCAAATTGGACCAAGTCTCCAGGTAGATTAACATTATCTATGACTATAGGTACATTCATGTATACATTTCTACAAACTACCACTCTATTATTTGCTGTTTTTACATTCAACTCTATGCTAGCTGCAGGCTTTATCTTTAACTTCTCAACAAATTTAGAAGAGATAAAACTGTGAGAAGCACCAGAATCAAACAGAACGTAAGCAGGAGTGTTATTAACATGAATTGTACCTGAAACCACGTCATGGGCCTTGGCTTGTGCCTTGTTCATCACGTATATGCGGCCCTGATTTCTTTGGTTGCCCCCGCCTTGGTTCTGATTCTGGTTCTGGTTCTGATTGCGGTTGGCATCACGGTCGTGATTGTTATTGTTGTGATTTCCCGGCTTATTTTCCTCTTGATTTCCACCTTGGTTTGCACCTCCTCGGTTAGGCCCTTGGTTTTGATGACCCGCCTTTTCTTTGTTTAGGCATTCGAATGACCGATGTCCCCTCTTCCCGCAAATGAAACAGTTCACCACTTTTCCATCACAGTCAACACCAGGGTGATCTCGTTAGCACAACTTGCAATGGTAGTGCCTGTCTCTTGGCACATATCGTTGATCTTGCCTTGGACCATGCCCAGGGAATCTCCTTCCATCTTGTGGACGACCTTCTCTCCTCCCCGTGGGTTGTTGTTCCTGCTGATGAGTTTTGAGCCTCTTCTCCCTTGCCTTATTCTCCTCCTCGTTCTTCCGGATTTTCTTGTGGGCTTCTCGCTGGAGTTGTACTACCCGATAGTGCTTCGCAGCTTTGTAATATGCATCATCCAATGTTTGCCAGTCCCGCACCATCATCATCTTCTGTGTGTCGTAGTTCAGTCCTCCGATGAACTTCTCGATCTTACTCTCCTCATCGGGTACAATTGATGTTGCAAATTCTGCTAGGGTAACAAATTGACTGTGATATTCTTGCACCGTCATGTCCCCTTGCTTCAAGTGTAAGAACTTGTCACGATTTTCTGCTTGTACGTGTGGCGGGTAAAATCTCTTCCGCAGTGCACGCTTGAACCGATCCCAAGTGAAGTCCGGTTGTGCGCTCATCCCTGGTCCCACATGAAGCCACCATTTATCTGCTTCTTCATGCAGATAATACACGGCAATGTTAATTCGTTGATCTGCCGGGCAATTGACCGCATCAAACAGCTTGTCGAAGGATCGTATCCAATTCTCGAGAAGGACTGGATCCTCTTGCCCAAGGAAGCTCGGTGGGTTTCGTGCCGCTACACGACTCTCCATGTTATTGCCGTTGTTGGGTTGGTTTTGAAATGCCACAGTGATTGTCTGGGTGAGCAGCGTGAGAGCTTGCGCCAGCTCGGCATTAGTAGGGACGGCATTCGGGTCCCTCCTCGGTGGCATGGTGTCTCCATTTATAAATAACTTGAATTAGTAAAGAAAACTCCTCTACTTTCCCTTAAGGATCCTAGAACTAAGGATTCCATATACTACCAAGTTATATCCTACAATTACCATGTAGGTGTAAATATTCACAGGTAGGTTGCACATTTCATATCACAACACATTCAACACTTGGGGTTCCCATTTCACATGAGCCCACAATTCTCCACTTTTCACATAACATATATAACATAAAAGTAATATTCACAAAGTCCTCACCACGTTCCTAAAGGCCATTTTCTAACTATCTTATTTTCCCTAGTCAAAATATTTTGAAAATCCCCATTTGAAGGTATGATTCCCAAGGTTTTACTTAGGGATTTCGAACAACGAAGTTTCAGCACAAGGAGAAATTCCCAGTTAGTTGGACGAGCGCAAAGGCTCAATTATGCACCAACCAGCTCAGACTCTTATCGTCTCGTTGACAGAATTCCTCCCTACGACCTATTACCTCGTGTCCTAATCCTTTCGGAAAACCTAACCTGGCTCTGATACCAACTTGTAACACCCCCAAATTTCCCTCCCAAAATAATACTTTAAGAAATAATAAACTTTATTAATTATTCAAAACTTTCAATTGTTTGCAGCGGAATTAAACAATAACAAGGAAAAGGGGTGTGTTACCGCCACACCCAGCCCTAAACCGACTGGATGCTAAGGCTATCCACCATAAATGTATCTAAAGAAATATTCAATTCAACATTTGAAATAATGAAATCTAACAATGTTTATTCTAGATGTGACTACTCTAAAAGTCTTCTAGGAGCGCTCTCAAGGCATCAATCTTCATAAACCACATCATCTGTAACATAAGGAAATAAAAGAAACAAATAACACAAAAATTAGCTTTAGAGCTAAGTAAGTCCCACCCAACCCCGTAAAATAATAGGTTTGGTGAAAATAATATTTTGTATACCATATATACGAAAAAGTAGTTCAAGAGATAAATTTCATGGTATACTTCTTTCAAAAATGGATGATCCTTACTTTCATTAAGTAAAATATTTTCTTCAATAGATACTCTAAAAATATAATTGTATTAAACTCCTAATACATTTGAAGGGTGGTGCTCAATATTTTATTGAGCCCGATGGTCCGTTGTTATGTACGGCCACCCCGGGACTTTTGCCGGTACCACTTCTAATCCTGAGGAAACTGAACCTCTACCTTAAGTGTGCACACCCTCTAAAAGGGATTCCAAGCCCTCCGAGTAGTAAGAAGTCCAAGTAGTTCGGACGTCAACGTCCCCCTACTCCACCAAAAAGGGATTACCCTATATAAGTGACTAGGTTACTGCTACTACTGAATAACAGGGTCTTTTGCCCGAATTTGAATTTCAATAAAAACAACCACTTTAACCAATCTCCACAGTCAAGGTCATGGACACCAAATCCCAACAAGTAATAGCAGTCCTAATCACTCTCCACAGTCAAGGTCGTGGAGAAACCGACATCCCGGATTTCTCCCGTGATGCCCTTACATTGAAAGGTTCATTTTATCTTTATTATTTTTCAAAAATTCAGGGATTACTACACACGTAATTTCCCCAAAGTTATTCAACATTCAACAATGCATCACATATTCATAAATTGCTCAACAAATAGTCAAATAGTACAAATTTCATATTTCATGCATACAATATATACGAGGTAAAAATGCATTTGGTTGCAATGTGACTTACCTCAAATTCCAGATATTCTTAACAAGCTTCTCTAACAGCTTCCTCTCCAAGTTCACCTTTTAATAATTATAATTTCCAAAGTCAATATTTATTCTAATTTAATTGTACTACCCTCCCTCCTTAATTAATATCCTTTTCTATTCGTTATATTTTAATTAATTGATTGGAATTATTTTGATTAGTCCATCGATAAGTTTATTTAATTCGGCCTTCTTATATTCTAGCCGGTCTACTTTATAATTCGTTAAGTCATTTTATCTAATCTGTTGGTGGTCGTTCACTTTTATTAATTAATTTTATTTATAAACTTATCCGTTAACGTTACTGATTAGCCTACATAGTTGTTAGTTATTATCTTAAGGCATTAATATTAATTAAATAGTCACCTCCAGGCCTCTCTTGTTTACTCACAAAAATAATCGATTCCATCAATTATAACTTTAACTCATCCAATTAAGACAATTCATATGCCGAATGAAGTATTAGCAATCGGTCCCATTATAACAACAAATCAGTTTATTATCACCGGCTCTAATTAGTCCCGTATTATGTATGTCTAATGATAATCTATTTTATTTTTATATTCATTGGTCTATAAATTTAATCCATGACTTTATTATAATCCAAATGATTCAATCTGATTTAACGTGAATATAAGTTCGAAATTCATTTTATCATCATGTGATAATAATCATTCAATTCATTTAGTTTTATAATCAACGATCCATCCATTTTCATTTAATTACTATCTAAGTATCATTTAAATTAAAAGTAATCAGGTTTAAGCATTCCATTTTGAACTGAGCAATGCACGTAATGTTAATTAATTAGTCAGTTCACAATCTGATTTCAGTAGTACGTCCAGGTTAATTAATTGGTCGGGTTACATGCAGTTTAATTAATTTATTACTACGTATTAATATAACCGTTCTTATTAGCAAATTATTTTTACGAGTACTTCGGTTGTACAGTCCAATATTACCGAGAACGAAACATCCGAACTTTAATGCTTAGTATATTTATTGGTTTGTTTTCGTTCAGTTCTTATATGTCAGATTAAACAATCCAGTCTCTTATAATGAATCAGTCCACAACTTCAACGTTATTATTACTAGTTCCTACTCCATTTTATATTTTAACCAGTCCGGGCCGTATTAGATCAGATTAATTATAAACCGTAGGCTAAGGAAATAACTTCATCGCCTTAAGAAAACGCAGGTGTGCGGGTTACCTCTATTGACGACGATGCTTTGGTGACGCAGCGACGGGCGGTGGTCAGCAGGCGGTTGGCCCGGAAGAAATCTGCAACGTTCGTCCTTCTCCGGCAAACTTCGGCACTCCACGGTCGGCTTCCTTCCCCTTCTTCCGAAGGTTGACGCTCTCGCTCTCAAGTTTCTATATTATTATTATTATTATTATTTTTCTGCCTGCGGCCGTTTTTGAGGTTGTGTTGAATGTTGATCGAGACGCTCATATTTATACTGGTAGGATGAAGGTTCTAGGTCTCTACAGATAAGCTTTGGGGTACGAAGAATACGCAGGGTCGTTGGCAATTCCTTCGTTCGTTATTCTTATCGCCTCACATGCGTAGACTATCACTTGCGTACGAAGTATTATTATTCGTATTAGGTAGAACGATTTATACTTCATATATGGTTAGTACGTATATTTATATTTTGAAAAGTCAAACTATCCTTATAATTATTTGAAGTTAATATGTATGTGCCGCACTACGTATATAGTACATACGTACATGTGTGTTTCTACTTTATATATATATATATATATATATATATATATATATATATATATATATATATATATATATAGAGGGCTCTTCTCATCAGGCCGGCCTGACGGGCTGCCAGGTCCGGCCGAGCCCGTTTTGGAACCTGCCCGGTGGATTTTTTTGATGAAATTTTTTGAGCATGTTCCTCATCAAGTCTAGTTTGTCCATACCAAATTTCAGCTCAAAATTCAATCGGGAAGGTCGTCAAATGATTTTTGCAAGTTAACTGGTCCGGAATATGTATTTTCCAGACCAGTTAACTTGCAAAAATCATTTGACGACCTTTCCGATTGAATTTTGAGCTGAAATTTGGTATGCACAAACTAGACTTGATTAGGAACATGCTCAAAAAATTTCATCAAAAAATTCCACCGGGAAGGTGCCCAAACGGGCTCGGCCGGACGGGGCAGCCCGTCAGGCCGGCCTGACATGAAGTTTTCTCTCTCTCTCTCTCTCTATATATATATATATATATATATATATATATATATTATTTCAACGATGCAACATTTGAAGTAATTATTTTATTATATTTATATTTTCGAAGTGTCACATTCTACCCTCCTTAAAAGATGTTTCGTCCCGAAACATAAACTAATATCTACTATCTATAATATAAAATTACTAAGTGTTACAACAACTGCATAACAAAACAGCTTGCTCACTAAAACTGTCCGGTGAACTTTCCCAGTTCACTGTGAGTCATCTCCTTGTTATCTGTTCTTCAAAGTGACATATTTCCATTAGTCTAAATCCTTCATAAACATGTGTTAGACTAGTTCTAAAGTCAGTCAAAGTTGTTAGAGTAAAGTTCATTGCTATACTTTATCAAACAAATAGAAAACCAATTTCAGCAACATGCTCCTAAGGTTCGGCAGCCAGCTCCCAAACTGACTGGCAGCCAGCTCCTTCAGGATTTCAGCAGCCAGCTCCTGAAGTCATTTGTTTCTGGCAAACATATTTGTACAATGTTTAACCCTTCTCTTTCACAACTAATATGGTCATAATCTTTGTTCCTATACAGTGTTATCCTCTTGAGGTCAAGACTTCAGTTGCATGTCTCAATATTTGTCAAAAGATGTTGGAACATATCCAGTTAGAGGAAGGGGTTGAAAACCGAAAAGATTTAAAAGTCTATTCACCCCCCCAGACTTTTATCTCACTAGGAACTCAGTTGGTATCAACGGCACTCATCAGTTACAACTCTTTTAAAAACAATGCAGATATTCCATGTCTTCATAATAGTTTTCATTTAAGGCTAACATTCATTTACAGGGCGAATGTATGTATGCAACAACAAGTAAGCAACAATCTACTAATTGGTGAGACCCAGTCTATATAATCTATTTTTATTATGGTTAGTTTTTTGTTTGTTATATTCCGAATTCTGAATGTTTTCCCTTAGGTTTGATAATGAAACATTCAAAGCAAGAGATCATGTGCAGCACAATCCACATTCAATAGCAAGAAATTAGCAAAGGATAAAGGAGAAGCTCAATTACAAAAGGGAAAATTACCGTAATATTACTAAAACAAAGACACTTTCTCAAAATATGACTTAAGAAGCCAAAAGTCCAGAATATGACTAAATTCATCGTACATAACCGTGCATCTAATTTCACCGAAACAAAAAGACCTCATTGCCCCAATATGTTTGTCTGCCTACAAAAAAGGTATTTTCTTATAAACGGAAACTAAACGGATTTGTAGGTGTGCGAATCTTAACATTTATTGCGGTTAAGAGTAGGAACGACGTGTGTCGTACACAAAGAAAGAAAGTGACGGCGCCAGAGAGAAAAGCGACGTCGGCGCAGTTGATGCAATAAATTCGGACACCAGCCCTGCGGCGACGGACAACGGGGTGGTGGTAAAAAACAATTCGTTTTAGTGTGTGCATAGGATTGGGATTCCTTGCCTACATACAAGCGGGAGCGAGAATGTGAAATTGGGGCATTAATATACAAGGGCATTGTGAAGTACTAATTGCGAGCGCGACAGTATTTTTGTGCAGTATTTTTGGACAGTAAGTACAAGGAAGAGATTAATTAGGTTAGTAAAGAATTCGAGGGGCAGTAATTCTTGTAGGCAGTAGAATTAAGCAAAACGAGAAAGTTGGGGGATTTAAGGTGGGGTAATAAGCAAATTGTGTAGGCAGTAGTAATAACCAACACTACAAAATTGAGGGAGTTAAGGTGGTGTAATAAAAAAATGGGCAGTGGGTTAAGGCATTATAAACATAGGCATTAAGTTGCTTAAGCATCGGTGATGGAATAACACAACTAAGGCATTATAAACACCACAATGACATAAAGTTGATTAAATTAAAGGTAGTTGATAGAAGAATTATACCGTTTATACAACAAAGGCATCATAAACATAGGCATTAAGTTGCTTAAGCATTGTCATATTTTTCTAACTTGTTTATCTTTTATTTTCTATTGTAATACATTTTTGTGCTCGATATGTACACTTCTGTATATTTTAGTACGACACTTTAGTTCGTACTTTTAACCTAAGAATTACTTTTTATTTGAACTAAAGTGTGTGTGTGTGCGCGCAAATATATGTAAGGTGCAATGCTGATGTGATTTTCAGATTTAATTCAAGGCAGTAAAATATTAAGACAACGACACATGAAATAGGTAGATATTCCCAGGACACTTATAAATATCAACAAATTTGTACCTTAGAAATGAAAAATTAATTTCCATAATTTTATTGCCCTAATTTTCCTTATTTATTACCATCTGCCGTAATTGTTTTTTGAGATTCAAAATAATGGAAGTAGTCACCTTTTATTTGTTCATTCATTCTCTTTAGGATCGGAGGTTTCATTAAGACGGATGCCAGTTATAACTCTAAACAGTTATCATATACGGAGTACTACGTATTATTAAGTCATACGCATGTATTTAGCCGGTCCTTAATTTTAGGAGGAAAACAGTTCTTTATATAAATGAAATGAGGGCATTTCTAGGATTAAAATAAAAAACAGAACACGTGCATGGCCATCAACATGTGCGGATAATATACTAAGAATAAAACTTCATGTAGTCATATACTAGGAAAGACAAACTCTTTTAGTCATAGGAGAGGTAATTTTCTCAATACAAAATGGGTAGAGAAGATTTCTTTTGAAATGTAATATGGTTTACAAGTAGTTGCATATAAACAACATTATAAAAAAGGCACAAGAGCTACACTCTTATCCACACATACAAAGCTTAACATTTTAACATTCTAAATGGAAAATCGTTTTTTGTAATATGTGTATTCAGTCAGTCATTTGTAATATGGTATACACTTACCTACAACATCTAATCAACAAATAATACTACCTATATGAAAAAATAGAATCTATGGTCGATGTAAGTATTCTCTTCTCTGGTCGTTTATACACATTGACATCAAACAATTGAGCCCTAAAACAGTTGAGGATTTTCAAGTTTATGAATATTAGGTATTACACACAGGTCACTATAAGTAACTGCAACTTTAAAATTAAGGTATTTTACACATATGAACTACTACGTATAATATACTGATCGACAATTTGGATTCGTTATAAACATGTTAATGTTTATATACTTAGAAAATATGTTTAAGTGACCAACAAAGTCTATAATAGTAAAATCAAATTTTATAAATATAGAGTTGAGAGTGTATTAACAGAGTGGCAATTTTTTGTTAACTCTTATCAAGTATAAAAAAATGAATTTATGAATAAAAGAGAATATAAATGTTGGCCATATTGACTGCAATCAATGAACTACAAAGTATACATTTCAGGTTAAATTCTAAACTTAAAAATTTCATTCTTTAGAAAATAAAGAAAAACAACTAATGATTCATGTCGTTCAGGTTTAATAGCATATACTCTTTAGATCATGATTTACAACTTGAAAGACTAGCAACGTTTTTATCTTAATTTTTTTTTAAAGATAGTACTCTGTATTTTTTATTTGAATTAACGTGAAAAGTAATTCTTATTGAGATAATTTAATAAACAAAAGCATTTAACTTCAGGGTATGGCGTTTTAGACGTAAAGTATTGGCACAACTCTGATGGTGAAAATAATGAGGATGATAATGAGTTTGAATGGTATACTCTGTGTGATATTGCTGTTTGTGGCATATTAGTTGGACGTACTCTTTATAGTCAAAGGCGACTTCCTTATCGTACATCTATTCGCTCTGGTGCAATTTTTATTCGATAAGTCTTAGATGGTCACCCAATCCGATGTTATCAAGACTTTAGGCTCCATAAAGAAGTGTTTAATACTTTAGCTCATGGTATTAAAGAATCATTATGGCTTTGTGGGGTCCCAAGAACTATCAATTGAAGAATCCCTTTGGTATATTCTTGATGACATTAGCTCATGGTGCGGGGAATAGGTTGATTCAAGCGATCTTTAATCACTCCGGTGAGACCATACATCTTCATGTTTATACGATTCTTGAAGCCGTGTGTAGACTATCGAGGGACTTAATTCGACCCAAGAATGACTACAATGAGGAATGTCCTTATATACACAACAACTCACAATATTGGCCATATTTCAAGGTGATCAAGAACTTCTTTCATGTGTAATAATTTGTTTACTTAAATTCTTTGTTTATTTTTGTTTATAAAATTGCATAGGGGCTATTT